GGATACGTTAAGTGGTTGCTTCTAAGGAGTGGAACTTTCAAAAGTTCATACGGGTGATAATGGAGCTGATATGATGACGAAGTCATTGCCGAGGGGGAAACTTGGAGTATGTCGAGAGATAGCCGGAATGATTGTTTCCTCCACCTAGTCGGAGGGGGAGTTTGTTGGTTTTCCTCCTAGTGGGAAAACCAATTTGGGTTTGGTTTAAGAGGAACCAAACTTGGGCCTATTATGATCCATGAGATTGTTATTGGGTTAAGGTTTACGAGGGAGTATATATATGACTCCAAAATCTAATTTTGGTGAAGGAGAAAGAAAATGAAGAGAGGCAATTTTCGTAGGAGAAAAATAGTTTCGTCAGTTTGGAGGCTTAAAAGTGCTCCGATTTGGCTGAAATTTTTGGGTTAGCTTTGTGACTCAGTGGTCTTGATATTCAATGGTGAAGATTGTATTTCAACGGTTGGTTCATCGCAGATCTGGGTTTTAGCGAGGTTGTTTGCTGCAGTTGCGAGTTCAGATTTCAGACTGTGTTGTCTTGAGTGTTTGGAAAATCCGACGGTGAATTCTTCTTGGATTGAGCTGAAATGTGGCAGACGTGTTCCTGACTTGTTTATCTAGGATTTGTACGGTGGAGATCTGATTTGGTGACCAGAATCCTAGTGAATTTAGGGTCGTTTGGGACTGCTTGTTTCTAGGCTATTGTATTGCTCTCTTGTGGTAATTCTTGTGTTGGAGATTGCTCTTTGGAGCTTTAGTCTCTGAATCTGTTCTTTGGAAATAGGGAGGACGTGGTTGTAACTTAAATTTGATATAATGGATTTTTGAGTGGACTACGGTCCCGTGGTTTTTACTCCTCACATCGAGGAAGTTTTCCACGTAAAATAATTTGTTGTCTCATTTATTTTACTGTTTTGATTTGCTGCTGTCGTATTCTATATTTTTCTCACTGGTTCACATAAGTGTGGGAAAATTTATTCCGTTGCACCATTGTTGCTTATTGTTTTTCCCCAACAATTATTTCAAATATTCTTTAAATAGTTTTTAAAAAAAAACTAGAGAAAGTATATTTTCTTTGTTAAAAGTAAACTCCAAGTTTATTCAGTTTTTTTTTTTTTCAAAATTTTATTCAGTTTAGTTCAGTTTTAGTTCTCACATTTTAACTGTTAAAAACAAACTTTTTTTTACAAATGTTATTTATAATTTGCATTAATACTTCTCGACGACTAAATTTATTTTGCAGGATTAGTAAGACCTCAATCTGGAACTTCTTAGTTAAAAACAAAAATTGGCTTAATTAATCAATTTTTTGGACGTATGTGGAAGGATATTTCGTTTACATTTTTGTATTAGTATTTTTGTACAAATTGTTTGTAAATTGCCTATACCTACAAAGATTTAAGCAGATAGCATTTTGACGACTTTTGGACGAGTAGTGGTCTAGTTCTTATTAATTAGTTAATTAAAGTCTGCATTAACCCCTAATAAATATTCAAATCATACTTTATTCTTATTTGTTCGACAAGCTTTATCAAATGAAATTCCTTCGAAATGCCAACCTATTGGTTGGGAAATTAATCATTACAATAAGATAAAATCAAGAAAAAGTTGCTTTTATTTGCTAAAATAGGGAGGATTAATTCGATTTCATCTCAGCTTTTATGATGTTTGTTTGGAAATTGAAAAGCCCAATATGTACGATTGTTTGAAAATTCATTTTTTTAGTAAATATTAGGTGGTCAATATAAATATTTTAATAACAAAAATCTGACTATTTTATTTACCTATAGGATGAATTTGGGTTTCACCTCGATCAGGATTCTCCGTTTAAAAAATAAAACATATTATGAAACATGACTATAATATGTTTAGACTAAAATCCAAAAAGTCATGTCATTATGAAAATCATAATACGTGGACTTTATGGCCGAGTAACATTAAAATAGAAACATAATAGTATTCAATTAAGAATATAAAAAAACAAGAAAATTAAAAATTATATTTACAAAAAAAAATAATTAATAAAATATGCACCCCTTAAAAAAAATGGCAAAGCTGGTTATCTAAGATTATATTTGGTGGTGATGTCAAACGATTAAGTTTTAACTACTATTAAATAACTTTTTATTATTAACTCTCCAAGTGGAACAAAAAAGAGCATAAACAAACAATTTGCCGTAAAGAGCGACCAAATTCTCTTATGCATACAAATAAATTAACCCCCTTTTGCCATAGTATAAAGTTATATTTTGGCACCAATTTGCCACGTAAGGCATCTCGCCTTATGCATAAAAATAAATTAACACCCTTTTCAACAAAAAAAAAAATATATATATATATATGGCTATTTCTGTCCAATGGAAAATAAACTGTACGAATGTTAATTTAAATTGTCTTTTCAACTATCATATTGCGATTCGTGATTGAGATTGTAAATACAATTACTTGTTAAACGAGAAGGGTACAGTTGAAGCTGTTTGGAATCAATTTAGGTCTAAATGTTTTGGAAATAGACCCCTTCCATTTTATTAGTTTCAAATCTTACACTTAATTATTTTGAATGTCAACAAAAACCTAAATTAAGTTTTAAGAAAAAACAAAAAAAAACCTAAATCATACTCATTAATGTTGGACAGAATATAAGTGTAATGAGGTGGTCAAAAAGATAAACTTCGGAATCATTCTTTGTTTAGTTGATTATATATAGTAACATGCAATATTTCAAGGTTCGTTTTCACTGTATTAATTTTGTGTCCAGTAATATACACAATTTTGTAAGACTCTTTAGCCCAAAGTGGAAACTGGAAACATTTATATATTCTTAGAAATAATTTATGAGATACTAAGTTGCAAAATATTGTCCACT